CCTGGTGGTCTTCATGTCGACATTGCTCTAGATGCTGATGTGGAATTGATTGGACGTGCCACGTGGCACATTGAGGATACTTGGATACTCATTCACACTATTGATTGATGAGGTGGCAGTAGAGGAGGGAGCCCGAAGCAGGAGTGGGCATTTTTACTTCCTCTCCTTTGTCTCTTTTCCCTCCTCCCTCTTTGTCTGTGTACGATATCTCACCTCATTCTGTCTGGTCACGATTTTTGACCATTTGTAATCATCAGCCGATGGACATCTTTCTGGACTTGCATTGTTGACAACTGTCTCACAATCTGGGTTCATTACAATTTCCTACAACACCCACCCCGACAAAAATGTTAAACTTGCTGCGTGAGTTCGAAAACCGTTTGCGCCCTTGGCCCAATTTTTTTTGGGGGGCCAAGGCTGCCGAATTTTGAATTCCTGAGGCCCCTCCCCCCAAAATTTCAAAACCGCGGATCATGAAAATAGGGCTCATTGATCCTCATTCCAATTTTCTTTTTTAGGCGGGGTGTACTAACTGGCCTTCCCCCTCCCTTCTTCAAATCCCACACAACTGCAATGACTTGCTGGTTCCTGGCTGCCTGTGGCCTATCTCTGACGAGGCTGTACTCTAGGTAGGGACAAATTCGTAATTTTGTTTGGCTGAGGACTAACCGAGAGACCAGCCTATAATGAAAATTTGTGAGGGACATATCTGTAAAGATAGAAATATGGGCCCTGTACTAACTCGATTTTCCTACAGCTACCCTAACTGCGAATAGCGGACCCGGGCCACCCCTAGGACAGACATGCCCTATGGGCCTATGCTGATAGACGGTCCCATAGCCTATAGCCGGGTAGGGAGAGGCCCTAGAGGCCGAAACAGAAACGGTACCGGTCGGTCAGTCGGTCCGGTCTAGGTCGATCTAGGCTAGTAGTAGAGTATAGATAGGATGGGAACATCGGTCCTGGGCTTTTGGCAGTTGACACTTCGTGGTGGAAGTTGCTGCGCACACGGTATCAGGTGGTGGTTGCTGATTCCGATGGTGAAGACAGCGGACATAGCCAGACTTTCGGAGCGTTAACCGGACTGGGGTCAACGCTGTCCGCTCTGACTCTCTGGGACTCAAAGCGGTCTGGGCTATCAGAGGTCTGGTCTGATGCGTCGGAGCACGTGGTGCACTGCGAACCCTCCTCAGGTGTAGGGTCCCTGTGGCGATGCAACCATAGCTGCATCTTCTCAGAGATTAGCATCGTCTGGGCTTCATCTTCATCAGGGACTCTTGGCGCTGAGCTTCTTCTTCATCATCTGGATGGTGATTGGCTCTAGAAGCCTGTTTCACTTTGGCGCAGGCCACTGAGTTGGATGTCGGGGTGGCACTGGGTGTTACCTGGGGTTTCGGTGCTATTTTTAGCTGTTCAGGGTGTTGGGGTTGAGGTGCTACCTGTCTGAGGGTAGCGCAACAGGGTTCTGAGGTTATCCAGGGAAAACGATGCTCTGAGTTTAATAAACAGTTGTAATGTTGTGTTTGAGTTGTCATCTCTTCATTGATTTTTGGCTGTGATCACTCGGTTGTCTTCTATGAATGATTGTYGGGATCTGTGTGGAGAGAATTCACAGTTTGTGTGTTCTGTCACTTCGCTCCTCTGAGTCTTCCGCTGCGTTTCTTTCTGTCGGGAGGTGTGATACTCCACTACCTCTCCCCTTCCTTCTGTGCGTGTATGGGCGTGTACGGGAGTTCCTGTGAGTGAGTGTTGATAAAATTTCAACACACAATCATGTTCATAACAGTTGGTATCGGAGCAGATCGAACCCAAACAGTGGCGACATGATGGACTGAGGCAGCCATCACTATCTGAGAGCTTCTGACGTAGTTTTTCGTGGGGAAACTTCATCTTCAGTACTGCGCTCAGTAGGGTGTTGGTGAAGAGTGTGTGGCGGCTGGGATGACACAGAGATTGGTGGCGATTCAGTGCTCAGTGGTCTGGGAGGCACTGAGGGGCTATTTTTAGCCCAGGGGTTGACTTTGCTAGTGGCGAGATACCTGGGGGTATGTCGAGTTGCAAATTCTGGACCAGGTTCAGTGAATTTGACTAGTGGGGATTAATCGCCATAGCAAGAGCTTCGGTATCACCAAGTTTCAAGAGATTTTGAACGTGGGAGCACCAGGAACAGTGGATGGAAGAAACTGGTGAGATGGGAGCCATAGCTAGTTCAGCCTCTTCATGCAGTGTTTTGCCCTGAAGTAAGTGTGTTCCTTACTCAAGTCTCTGTGGCGAGTTTGATAGTTGTAATTAGACGGCAAAAATTGAAATTCTATGTCTGTAGACAGTAAAAGTTGAAAATCGTACTGCCTGACAACCATATCCATTTCTCCCACCTATCTACTTTGACTTCTACTGACTCTGTTTGACCTCCTCTCTGTCCCAAATTGCATCTTTGATTGTATTACAATATTGCGATTCAGTATGCACTGTGAATTGAGTAGTTCAAGGTCTGGATGTCAGTGATAATGGAATTCTGAGTATTGCGCTGCCATAGCCAGTGCTTGGGGCAGCTAGGGTTTGTCATATCTTAGGTTTTGTCCGTCAGAATTTCAGTCTGTCAGTCACCCTGAAATCGCAATTCAGTATTGTGTCAGTGTCTGAAAGCGCCATACTGGATTTGATGTTTTGAGTCAGGTACAGTCATATCTGTACTTCGCCTCACCCATAGTGGGGCATACAGGGTCCTACAGTGCCAGTGTCAGTAATAGGAGTCTAAAAATAGCTTGATCAGTCATCCGCTGCATCTTGGTTGACTACTGGGTTCTGGTGATTGCTACTGACTTTCTGCGCTATTCCATCCTGTCTACTTACAGTCCAAGGTTGCATCCTGTCTAATTTCTTGACAACGATTATGGGGTTGTTCTACTCAGGTGAGGGTTCTGGGCTGTGAATGAAAAATCGCAAATCTGATTTTGTCTGGGATTGCCCTAAACTGACGCAGAACAGCCCTCAGCAGCCTACAGAGGCTGAGCGCTCTTCTGCCCTTGACACCACGTTCCTTCTCATCAGGTGGCAGTGATTACATCAGTGTGTGTGTGTAATCTTAATCTCTACTGACCTTGTATCTGCCTATCTGTATTTATTGGACTGTGTGAGTGTGTCATTATGGCTGGCGCTGAGACAAAGGTTGAGGGAGGAGAAACTTCCACTCACCCTCCTCAGGTTCCTCTCTCTCCCCTAGAGCAGGCTCTGCTTGAGGCTGAGCAAGCTCGCCTCAAGGCAGAGGCCCAGATCCAACGCTTGAAAAAGGAGATGGAGGAAGCTCAGGAGGCCAGTAAAAATGAAGAGAGAGGGAGACAGCTACGCAAAGAGGTTGAAAAGGTTGTCACCAGTGGTACATCCAGTTAGTACAGTAAGGACACTGCTGAATTGGTGCTCTTAACAGACACCATCAACAGGTCCTACTTTTCTAACTGGGACCAGAGGATACTCGCCCTTGAGACCCAAGGTTCTGCCATGGACCGCAAGGTTGATATGCTGGCAGCAAGCCTTGAGTCTTTGACGACGAGTGTCAACAGCATCCTACAGCACTTGCAGTTACCTGTCCCTTCTCCCAAACCTCCTCAACCTTCCCCAGCATCCTCTACACCATCTCACAGTCGACCATCTTCACCTGCTGGTTCCCATGCGTCCACTACCCCTGCTGCCTCTGACACATCTGATCAGCGGCAGCCCAAGCTGAAACCACCACCGATGTATTCTGGGGAAGACCCCAAGGTGGATGTTTCAGATTGGGTTACTTGCATGCAGGCGTACCTGGGCAGCTTTGTTTGTCTACAGGTGACAAAGGTAGGGACTATTCTGGGTCGTTTGGAGAGGACTGCACTGAAATGGTGCACATCCTTTGCAGCGAAGCAGAATCAGCCCATGGACGAATGGGCACAACAGCTGAAGGTGGAGGGGTTGCCGCAGCCCTTGCGAGACCGGTTCGCTGACAGGGAGCAGGCCCGAAAAGCAGCAGACAAGATAATGCTGTTGGGCTCACGCAAGTTTGAGGGTTCCCTGTCCAAGCTCTACAGTATGTTTGAGAGCTTGACTGCTACACCCGGTCTGGAGATGAGTGAGTCGGACCAGCTTACCCATTTCCTTCGCGCTGCGCCTCCAGACTACTCCATTGCTTTGTATTCTCAGGGCCACAAGGACTGGAGGTCCTTTGGCAAAGCGGCCCTGGACCTGGAGTCTCGACTCAAGGTTCAGGAACCTTCTGAAGGAAGGAGGAGACCCTCTTCCAGGGGACAACGCAGGAAGAAGGGTGCTCTGTTGGCTGCTGATGCAGGTTCTGATTCTGATGCATCTCAGTGTGGCAGTCCTCCATCTGAGACTGCATCAGGATCAGCAGTTGAGCCAGCCGTTCTTGCCCTGGCTGAGAATCTCGCTGCCATGTTTAAGGGAAAGTTTAACAAGGACAGCAGCAACAAGAACTCGGCCAGCCAGAAGGGGAAAGGGAAGGGACGTGCCACTTCCCCTCAGGCCCAGAGACCTAACCTACCACGAGACGTCCATTAGCCAGTCAACGTCATGGATCCTTCCACCCTTCCCTGGAGAGCGCTCAGGATCCAGGAAGGGTAGTGGCAGAGGAGGAAGGACCGTGAGGTTTGTTTTCGCTGCGAGGGGGACCACTTCCTGAAGGACTGTCCCCATATGCCTGGCAAGCCTGGTTCTAGTCCAAAAAACTAGACCAGCAGAGGGAAGTACAGTTAGCAGCTCCCTCCACTTACGCTGAATCAGATTCAGATGGATCTGATTCTGCATCCACCCTCGCTGATTCTATTGGAGTTGCTGTGTCAGGATCCTTTACTTACATGGACCCTGACCTGGATGAGACGTGGCAGGAAGATGATAGTCAGACTTTTGCTGATCTTTTCCTGTCTTTGCAGGAAAAGAAGAAGCACAAGTCAGACCTCATCTTGCTGCGGCCCTCTATCCTGGGAGCCAGGATCGAAGGCCTGTTGGACTGTGGGGCTACCCGGAACTTCATCTCTCCCAAGGCTGTCAGCAAGCTGCATCCGGATGGGAGATTGGTGAAGTTACAACAGCCACTGGAAGTCCGAATTAGGGACTCTTCCACAATCCGGATTACCTTTGCTGTCAAGAACCTACCGGTTATCTTTGACAAGCAGGAGAAGGTCAGGCAGCGCCTGAACTTCTATGTGTTTCCTAATGTGCCTTTTGATCTTGTGTTTTCCATGCAGTGGCTTGAGGCCACTAACCCTAGGATCGACTGGCAGATCCCTAGGGTAGAGCTTCCTGACTGTCGAGGGGACTATCGGCCTTGTGTCCTGGCTGATGAGTACCATCCAGTCAGTAGTTGCTTTTGTATGAGGGCACACGAGTTTTTACAGCTCTCTCGCCAGACTGCCCACACACGTCTGTTCATTGCATATGTGAAACAGACTGGTGTGGATGTTGCTCCTTGTCCCTCACCGATTCAGCAGGTTTTGGACCGGTATCCGGACCGGATGCAGGAGCCTACTAGACTTGTCCATAGGCAGACTCGGCATAGGATTGAGCTCCTGCTAGGTGCGGTCCCTCCCAAGGGCCGTATCTACAGGATGTCCCCTGCTGAACTCAATGAGCTCATGAGAGAGCTTGAGACCCTGACCAACAAGGGCTGGATCAGACCCAACACATCTGAATTTGGGGCTCCAGTTCTCTTTGTTCCGAAGGGAAATGGAGAGTTCAGAATGTGCGTGGACTACAGGGGTCTCAACAAAATCACTAGGAAGTCTACAGAGCCCCTTCCTAGGATTGATGATCTGCTGGACATGGTGCAGGGCTGCACAATTTTCAGCAAGATCGATCTCAAATTTGGCTACCATCAGATTGAGATGGCTGAAGGCGATGTCCATAAGACCGCCTTCAAGACCAGATACGACACTTATGAGTACCTAGTCATGCCCTTCGGTCTCTGCAATGCCCCTGGCACATTCCAGACAGAGATGAATCGCATACTCAGGCCTTACCTGGACAGATTTGTAGTTGTATACTTGGATGATATCGTGGTATTCAGTCGATCTGTCGAGGAGCATGCGCAGCATCTGGCTCTAGTTCTCCAGGCACTACATGAGGCCCAGTATAAGATCAACAGAGAAAAGTCCTCCTTTGGAGTGACTTCTGTGACTTATCTCGGACATGTAATCTCTGGGGAAGGGCTAGCTCCTGAGGCAACAAAGGTTGTTGCAATTCAGGACTGGCCACAACCCACTACAGTTCGTGATGCCCGGTCATTCCTGGGTCTTGCATCTTACTACAGAAAGTTCGTCAAGAACTTTTCTGCTATTGCGGCACCCCTGACCGATCTTACAAAGAAAGACACCCACTTTCTTTGGACATCAGACTGTCAGTAGGCTTTTACACGCCTCAAGGAGGCCTTGATGCGTGCACTTGTTCTGAAGCTACCTAACCCTACCTTGCCCTTCGTACTAACTACTGATGCTAGCCAGTATGGGATTGGGGCGGTACTTCAGCAAGATGGTGGGCATGGTCTGCAACCAGTTGAGTATATGAGTAAGAAGATCAAAGTCAAGAAGCTGTAGGATTCCACTTACGAGAAAGAGCTATATGCTCTAGTGTCAGCGTTGAAGCATTGGAAACATTTCCTCATGGGCAGACACTTAAAGATCTATTCAGATCACTCCACCTCAGATCACTCCACCTTGCAGTGGATGAAGACCCAAGAGGAACTGAATGACAAGCTTGCGCGCTATATCCAGTTCATTGATCTCTTTGACTTTGAACTGAAACCCAAGAAGGGCTGTTACAATCGAGTGGCAGACGCCCTATCTTGTAGGCATGGCGCTCTCTGCATGATCTCCTCCACTCATACTTTTGGGGAGAGCACCCGTCAGACCATTGCCCAGCCATTGCCACAGGACCCGACTTCTGGCCAAGTCGTTAGGAATCTGCAGACTGATCCTGCTTCTGAACAAGGATATGCTCTGGTTTCAGGTCTGCTCTACACTTGCAGCAGAGGAGAGGAGCGTTTGTGCATCCCTCATGACCGCCAGCTGAGAACACTCATGATGTCTAAGTGTCATGATGCTCACGACCATTTTGGGGCCTTAAAGTCATTGGTTGCCCTGTCGCAGCGGTTCTTATGGCCAGAGATGAGGAAGACATGCTGCACTATGTTGAAACCTGTGAGCTGTGCCAAAGGAACAAGGTCGTTCGCCGGCCTCCCATTGGCCTGCTACAACCACTTCCCATCCCTGATGCACCCGCACAGTCAGTATCTATTGATTTTACTGATCTAGGGAGGACTACTCCTCGGGTTATGCGTCAGGTTAAGGTGTGTGTTGACAGGTTTTCCAAATATGCAGAGTTTATTCCCCTGCCAGAGGAAGCAAGAGTCCCGGCCGTGCAGGCCACTTTTGCTGACAGGTGTGTCACTCATCATGGACCACCCACCTCTATTGTCAGTGATAGAGATCCGCGATTCTGCAGCAATGAATGGCAGTCCTACTGCAAGGACTACCTTCATTCCAGACTGAATATGACATCTGGACATTATCCTGAAGCCAACGGGCAGGTTGAAGTGATGAACCAGATTCTTTTTCAGTTGCTGCGTCCTGTGATCAGTCCTGATCATCAGGATTGGGATTTCCATCTAGGACGGGCCCAGCTAGTGTACAACACCTCTGTACACTCCTCCACAGGATTCAGCCCTTACCGGTTGCACTGGGGACGTGAACCACGACAGCCTCTCGATGACATCATCGATAAGGTTACTCCCAGACTGACTCCTGGGACTGCAGAGTTCACCCGACAGTACCAGAGGGATATCGAACGAGCCAGAGTGAACCTGCTCAAAGCCCAAAAGGCTATGATCCAGCAGGCTAAGAAGCATCGTCGACCATCCCCTATCCGTGCTGGTGACTGGGTCTAGGTACTCAATTTTGAGCTATCGCGGGAGGAGGACATTTCACCTAAGTTGTTGCCACGTTACATGGGTCCGTGGCAGGTCTTAAGATACAGTGGGGGCTAACCCTTTCGGGCCATCCTATCACGTAGATGTCCCGCAACATCTACAAACCTACCCTGTCTTCCATGCATCCAAGCTGCCGCCTTTTACGCCGGCTGATGCATTTCCAGACAGGCCTCCTCAATTTGGTCCCCCGATCCCTGGGAAGGGATATGAGGTGGAAAAAGTTGAGGATGAGTATGGTACAGGCCCGGATAAGGAGTACCTTGTGAAGTTTCTCTACCAGCCCCATACTGAGGATCGCTGGTTTACTCGCAAGGAACTTCTGAAAACAGCCAAGTCTGTTATCCTCAAATATGAGGCTGCGCAGAAGGGAGAGCCCCTTCGACGCTCTGCACGCCTACGCCCCTAGCTCGCAGGTCCTCGCTCCGGGGGAGGGTAGGTCTGCAATGACTTGCTGGTTCCAGGCTGCCTGTGGCCTATCTCTGACGAGGCTGTACTCTAGGTAGGGAAAAATTCGTAATTTTGTTTGGCTGAGGACTAACCGAGAGACCAGCCTGTATGAAAAATTCATGAGGGACATATCTGTAAATATAGAAATATGGGCTACCCCTAGGACAAACAGGCGCTATGGGCCTACGCTGATAGACTGTCCCATAGCCTATAGCCGGGTAAGGAGAGGCCCTAGAGGCCGAAACACAAACGGTACCGGTCGGTCAGTCAGTTCGGTCTAGGTCAGTCTAGGCTAGTAGTAGAGTATAGATAGGATGGGGACATCGGTCCTGGGCTTTTGGCAGTTGACACTTCGTGGTGGAAGTTGCTGCGCACACAGTATCAGGTGGTGGTTGCTGATTCCGGTGGTGGAGACAGCGGACATAGCCAGACTTTCGGAGCGTTGACCGGACTGGGGTCAACGCTGTCCGCTCTGACTCTCTGGGACTCAAAGCGGTCTAGGCTATCAGAGGTCTGATGCGTCGGAGCACGTGGTGCACTGCGGACCCTCCTCAGGAGTAGGGTCCCAGTGGCGATGCAACCATAGCTGCATCTTCTCAGAGATTGGCATTGTCTGGGCTTCATCTTCATCAGGGACTGTTGGCGCTAAGCTTCTTCTTCATCATCTGGATGGCGATTGGCTCTGGGAGCCTGTTTCACTTGGCGCAGGCCACTGAGTTGGATGTCAGGGTGGCGTTGGGTGTTACCTGGGGTTTCGGTGCTATTTTTAGCTGTTCAGGGTGTTGGGGTTGAGGCGCTACCTCTCTGAGGGTAGCGCAACAGGGTTCTGAGGTTATCCAGGGAAAACGATGCTCTGAGTTTAATAAACAGTTGTAATGTTGTGTTTGAGTTGTCATCT